ATGAGATTCTAAAAGTATTTCAAGTAGAGATGCTTTAAGAAATCCCTAGGTGAGAAGATATATTTTTTAAATATTACCAACGTATTGAAATATTTATAGAAAATCTTCAATATAATAAAATTCTTCTTTTCTTCAAAGTTTTAAATAATAATAAATAGTAATAAAAATTAATAAAATTTTTAAATAAAAAATAAAATGTGTGCATCAACATGTTGGCATTTGCATTGCATGCACGGCATAATTTTTTTTAACAAAAAGTAAAATTAAACCTCCAAGGATGAGATTCTAAGGTATTCTAAGAAATTATGCCTAAAAAATCTTTAGGGGAGAAAGAGTTCTTTTAATGTTACCAACGTACTAGAACATTTTAAGAATTATTTTAATAAAAAAATTTTAATTTATTTTTCTCAAATAAAATTTGAATAATAAACTTTTTTTTAAAAAAATCAATTTTCAATAAATGAAAAAACAAGAAAATTATTTTTCAAATGTCGAAAATAAGATTGTTTTTTTTATTAAAATCAAAGTATAACACGTAATTAAGTGATACCGTTCTTAAACGAGCACTATGAGGGTGCTAATCATTTCTCACGCGTAACCGACTCTTGAATTCAGACTGTTTCACAGACTATAAAATTATTTTTTTAATAAATTTTAATATTTTATTAAAAGATAAATTTTAATATATGGCCAAACGCACCTAGCCAAAAAAAGATTGGTGGCGATTCTGTTATATTTTTATTTCGTTCCCAAATTCGTCGGGCTGACACAAAATCATTACGACAATAATTCTTATTTTTGATTTCGACCTTTTTTTGTACAAAATAAGAAAGGCAAAGTCTCCTTTTTTGGTAATGAAATTGATGCTATATGACTATGCCTTAAGCATATGCTACACAAATAAATAAAACAAAAAAAAAATTTTGGATTTTTCGAGTTCTAAACTTTAGGTGGTGATTATTTCCTTACCTTTTGTAGATACTCAATTTGGTCCAGGCCCGAATTAATTAGGCCTGGTCCAAATGGGTAAGCCCATTTGTATTTGTATTTGTATTTATTATTATTATTATTATTTATATATAATTTTTATTATTTATCTATTAATATTTTTTATTATTTATCTATTAATTATCTATTAGTATATATATATTTTATCTTTTTTTTATTTTATCTTTTTTTTATCAATTTTTCGGTTGAGATTAAGATAGAAAAAATTGAAATGTATTTTGCCGTAAATTTGGGGGTTGATAGAGTTAGGATCTGATTTAAAGATTGAATATAAATCTAAAAAAAAATTGAGATTGATCAGAAACTCTTCTGATTAATTCTTATAAATAGGTCCATAGATCATATAGAATAGACACACAGAAAGAAAATGAACAGAAAACAGAAGCAAAAAAGTTCGAAGGCAGCTATAGAATTTTTAGGAAAATTTTTGAAGATTTCGGCATTTTTTTTTAAAAAAATTTTTGAAAAATTTCAGATTTCGATGAATTTTTTGACAAATTTTTCGATCGACTTTGAAGTTTTCGACATGTTTTTTCATATTCTGATAGAACATTCAACCAAAATCTGAGATCTTTTAGAGAGAAAAAAAGAGAAAAAAAAAAGAAAAGAGAGAGAAGAAAGAAAGCAATCTATGGATGAGCAGAAGGTTGGAGCCCTTTATACCATCCAAAAATGACATCACTTTTATGTTTAAAGTCTCAGAGAATTCGTGCGTTTTGTCAAGATCCGACATGACCCGAGCGTCAGCCCGTTTTTGATCCGCGTCTGACCCGAGTGTCAGCCGACCCTTAGAGCCGAGCCGAGCCACCTCTTGTCGAGTCATACCTTCAAGCCGTTTTTCTTCCTAAAGCCGAGTCGATTTCAACTGCTGAGCCGAGTCGCCCTAAGGTTTATTTATTTATTATTTATTTGTTAATTATTATTATTGTTTTAAAATTAGAATTATTTGGTATTCCTTAATTTTAATTTTAATTTATATTTTTAAATGCTTTTCCTAAAATAAAAATTTTAAAAATATATATTTTTTGAGAAATGTTGAAAGTATCAATTTTCTTTTGAAGTAAAATTTATAAAATAAATTTTTCAAAAAGTATTTTGAGGAAAAGTTGAAAATATCAATTTTTCTTAAAATTAAAATTTCAAAAAAAAAACATTTTGACGAAAAGTTGAAAGTATCAATTTTCTTTAGAAATAAAAATTATCAAGAAAAAATTTTAAAGAAAAGTTGAAAGTATCAATTTTTTTTATATAAAAGCAATGAGTTTTTTCTTTTATAAAAAGAAAAAGATTTATATCAAGAGTTAAATCATTATTCCTTTTTATTTTATTCTTTTTGTTTCTTTTCTTGAATTTTTTTAAATATTAAATAATCCGACGATGGAATCTCTGTAAGTGAAGCAATAGTTTTTTTGCATACTCTTGAGGTGAGAGAATTTTCTTAATTTTTTGTCAAAAGTATTGGAGTTAATTAAGAATAATTTTCAATAATTAATTACTTGATAAAATTTTTAAGGCTTATCGGATAATAAAAAATTAAGCTGGTACCATCTTTCGATGAACATTATGAGAGTGCTATAACCTTCCTTACACGTAATTAAACTTTCGAATCTTGTTCTAATTAATAGACCTAAACTTATTGTTTTAAGGACCTTTAGTCAAGCTTAAGTATTTTTTGAAATGATAAATTTTTTAAGTGATCAATCGCATATAAATAAAAAAATTTAGTGACGACTCTTTAAATCAATATCTAATGATAAATCTCTGAATCTAGATGTTATAACATCTTTTGATAGTGAACCCAAAAGTGAAATAGATTGATGGAGCAATTGCAATTCAAACCTAGAGAGATAAGAATCATTTCCAAAATATTTTATTTAGAAGATTTACTATCAAGATTGGCAAGATTCCCGTGGCAGAAGAACATATTAGTGGGTGATAAAAATAAACTTGCATTACTTTTCAGCTACGAAAAAAAAAAAATATATATATATATATATAAAAGGTATTTTCATGCTTAATTTAATTTTTTCCTATTAATTTTAAATACATACTATTTCACATCATGTGAAACATCTATAATTTTACTCTCAAAATGTTTCATACAAAATTAAATTATAATTGAGAAGAAAACCAATATTTTATTTTAATAATGTGATCAAAGGATATTTCAAGCTATGAAAACTACGTAATGTTACCTACATTGATTATGATAATTAATTAATTTATTTATTTATTTTACTCACATAATACTGATTGTTTGATCTCACTTAGTGGCTGTGACATCATGTCACTGAATTTTTAGTCAAACTAAATTTTGTATGGTTAATCTCCAATGCGGGAGCCTGCAAAAGTTGACAGAATTACTTGTTAATTGAATAATGTTCAATGTATTCAAAGATATGTATAAATCAAGATCTACTTTTTTAACTTTATCTGTAAAATAAATACAAAGGGTTAGTTCAGATTTAACTATTTTAGATGTAGCATTGATTAGCAGAAATGTAATGATATGAAGAAAATAATAAAAAAATATATCAATTTTTTTTTTATATTTGAAACTATTAGAATAAAAAATTTAACACGTAACTGTTGACATAATATTACCGATTTAATAATTAATTGGTTAAGCAAACATTGTAATAAATCAAAAGACATAAATCAAATTATGGAATATGTTCTTTTTTATTTCCCTCTCTCACGTTGGTATGAGAAGTAATCACTTCAATACTTGATTTGATTTTTTATTATTAAAATCACAACTTAATAGACGATTGGTAAAAAATAATGCTCCGTTGCATTAATACTTTTGTTATTTAAATTTATTTGTTTTATTTATTATTTGTAAAGGAAAAGCAAAAAACAATTATCAAAAGTTATTAGTCAAATAGAGTAATCCATACCTGATCTCTTTAGACAATTTTAAGAACACATTTTTCATATTGATTTGATGTGTTGATAATTTTATTCTAAAATACCTTTTATAAAAATAAAACCTTTATTGAATGATAACAAAAAAGAATTTCTCTTATTCATATATAATGAGTACCTCAACTTTCTTCTATTCATTTTCTCGTGTTACTACATCATCAATCCATTGAACCTTGTAAATCTTACATATTTCTTCATTAATTTTCACTTTTTTTCAACTGACAAATAAAGCTAATACATTTGAAAACATTGCAAATGCAACGTGCACTAAGTATCCACCTACTAGCTAACAAAAAGATGGTACAAAGAAAAGTCCAATCACAGCAATAGAAAATAACATGCAATTAATTTATTTGACATTAAACATTAACAGTACGGAGACAAGACCTTACTTCTCAATTTTCCTATAATATGGGCGGTCCAATTGCTATATGCTCATATTTTTTTTTTTCTTTGCATTAAAGTCTAAGCAATTATTTTAAAAAAATCTAAGTAATTCAAATATAAATTTTAATTTAATTAATTTATATAATTATTTTTAATAAATGACATTTAATAAAATTAAAATTCATATCCTATTACATATAATTTTTTTATCCTATTCTCTAACTATGATTTCCTGCGTATAAAAAAATTAAAGTAATTTAATTCCCTCATTACCTTATCTTTTCCAAAGAAAATTCAGTATTCTCAATCAAGAAAAAAAAAATCAAATCAAATCAAAATTTTACTCTAAAAAATAATTTAATCAATGATATTTTTAAGTTTTATCAAGATTTAATCTTCCACTTTTAAGATATTTTAAAGATATATTATCTCATACAGTTTAATGTATTTGAGATTTTATTTAAAAATTTAAACTTAATTATAAAGAATAACGAATTCCTTTTCGATTAATTTATATATCAAAATTTAATATTATTTCCAGACGTGAATCTATAATTATCATAAATCTTTATTTTTGACAATGATTATTACTCCAAAGAAAAATCCCATTTCTTATCAGCCCTGCCCTCACGTGACACACCATCAAATCTCAACCGTCTAAAGCGTGAATCTTCGACCGTACATTGATTAACGGCGAAGGGACTATGGAGAAGTTTAATTTCGTAAAATGTGATATTGAAAAGCGTTTCTCACATGAAATGCAAAAAATTGTAAAAACAGGTGATGGCACGTGCCGGCTCTGCCTGCCACAGTAAAGCTAAAAGGCCCGGAATCTAGATCCGACGACCATATCTTCCCGTCAAGACCGGGACCTCTATAATTTAATCCAACGGCTAGTAATCCACCAATAATCCCAGCCATCACATCTTCATCCAACGGCTTAAATTGAATCAACCCTTCCCTATTACACCATGAATATAAATCGAAAGGCCCTGTCTAAATCTCCAGATTCACTCTTTCTCCCAAACAAAAAGAAATTAAAAAAACCGCAAAAATTTTAAAAAGAAAATCTCTTTCCTTCCTTGATGGTGCTAACGTGCGCGGTTGTACTAGCGGCGCTGGTTTAACGTTCGCCGCCTGAGATGTCGCCAGGGGCTTCAAGAACAACGGTTGTGATAAGAATCTCACGATACAGGAAAGGTCAGTGGAGGTGAAATTTGTTTAAATCAGACGTTCCCGTATTTTTGGGGTGGGACCCAACCGGGAAAAAGGGAAAAAAAAGGAGAAGAAATGGATGGCCTAAAGAGCCAGGCGAAGCTAACACGAATGCAGTCGTCGTTGCTCCGTTCATCGCCAACCGTCCGATCGTCCATACAGAGTATGTCTTCCATCACTGAAGATGACTTTAGGAAAGAACAAGAAGAAAAAGACGACTACCAGCATCCAGAGTCGTTACTAAAAGATAAGAAAAAAAAGAAACCGCCACCAAAGAAGTCATGTTCGATGTCACCGAGGATTACTCCGGTTCGGTTCAACCCGGTTTTCGCCATGGCCTCAGTCTCTTTCTTCACTTTTTTCTCTTTCATCTTCTTTTGCTTTTATCTTAAAAGAGAAGAAATTCCCACATCGGAAAACCTCTTGTTAGCCTTAATCTTCGTCGCTATTACCCTTTTTATCGCTTCGAAAAACAAAGCTTTAATCAACCAAGGCATTGCTTGTTTCAAAGAAAGACTCCACCTTTCAAAACCCAATTCGAAGCCTGTTCAATGGTTCATTGGAGAAACCAAATGTAACAAAAACAACAAAGAAAAAGAAAGACTTCAGCTGGCTGTAAGAGAAGGGGTGGAGTTTTATAGCAATGGGGATTTTTATGAAGGTGAATTTCATAAGGGAAAATGTAATGGGAGTGGGGTTTATAACTATTTCGTGAATGGGAGATATGAAGGAGATTGGGTAGAAGGGAGATATGATGGGTATGGAGTGGAGAGCTGGAGTAGAGGGAGTAGATATAGAGGCCAATATAGACAGGGTTTAAGGCATGGATTTGGGGTTTATAGGTTTTATACAGGGGATTCTTATTCTGGTGAATGGTGTAATGGACAGAGTCATGGTGTTGGTGTTCAGACTTGCGCTGATGGGAGTTGCTATGTTGGGGAATTCAAGTCTGGGGTTAAACATGGACTTGGCTACTATCATTTCAGGTATGAAAATAAATTATTGGGTCTTTCTTCTCCTTTAGAAAATGAATGGTGATGTTCGAGAGAAAAGATGGATTTTTCTTTTCAAAAAAAGTTAGCTTTGTGGGTTGAACTTCTTGAATTTGTGTTACTATTTACTTTTTCAAGTTCTACCATGAAAATACTCGTGATTGATTTTAAAGAAAATGGCGTTGTGGTCTAAATATTTTTCATTTTTTACTCAGAGCTTTGCTCTGTTTCCATGGATGTATTGAGTGTTTGTTGAGATTATGGAATTTTTGTGTTATTTCTCTTTTTGTGTTTGGAATTCTAGATTGCTAGGATGACCCAGAAATACTAATCATGAGAAAGTAATACTTGGCGTTTACTTTTGATATCTTCAAGTTTGGCATGAAGGGAGATTTACTCTGGGGATTATTGAACTTCTACTTTAATATTTTGCACTTTTTTTCTTTAATAAAATTTACCTTTTTCATGTTTCTACTTTCAGAATTATGATGAGTTGAGTATATCCAGCTCAATTCTGTTGCATTTTACTTTTTCAGCAGCTTTCCAAAATTCAATTGTTTTTTTTGTATAGCAAGAAAGAAGAATTGACTTCGCATTTAAGTCTTCACCCGTAAATGTGGTTGTTGCTGACCTGATGATTGGTTGTGGATCCTATGTCTTTGGATTCAACGAATGAAAGCTGAAGAGAATTAATTTCCTTTTATGAATGTTTAATACTTTGCTTAGGTTATTATTCCTTAATAGAACATCTTCGTTTATATTCATAATGAACTTGTTTCTTTACTTGGGAGTTTAGGTTGATTTTTCTTGGTTTAGGTAAATCATTTCTATTCTATTAAGGAGACCATAATCTTTATAAAATTTGATGGTTTTGTCTTGTAGGAACGGAGATAAATATGCTGGAGAGTATTTTGGAGACAAAATGCATGGATTTGGCGTTTATCACTTTGCCAACGGTCACTGTTATGAGGGATCGTGGCATGAAGGTCGAAAGCAAGGATATGGCTTGTATACTTTCCGGAGTGGTGACAAGAGATGTGGTGAGTGGGATTCCGGCACCCTTAAAACCCCTCTACCCCCGGTTACTGATGCTATCCTTCGAGCAGTTCAGGTATTTTATTTGATGTCGATGGCTTCTATAATGTATTTACCTTCTTTGTTAATTTGCCATAAAAGCTGGAGTTCTGTTCATTAATTTTTTGTGATATTTTTTTGGTCTGCAGGCTGCTAGAAAAACAGCAGCTAATGCTATTAACCTTCGCCGGGTGGATGAACAAGTGAACAAGACAGTCCTGGCTGCAAATAGGGCGGCAACTGCTGCTAGGGTAGCCGCAGTCAGAGCTGTTCAGAACAGTATGGATGGCAAATTTTGTGATACAGATGTCTTAAGAGATTAGTTTTGCCTGAAAACGTTTTTTTTTTAAATTAATTTTATGTACTTGAAGAGGTCACCCTGGTGAGCAAAAGCTCATTGGAGGTTGAGAGATTATATTTGAGGTTTCATTGGCAAATGTAACTTGTACATAACTCTTGTATATGAATGGAAGATCAGTTTTCAGCAGGTTTATATCATTTCCTTTACATGTCCATCCTTTTTTATATAAGCTTTTTTGTGGGGCTGATTGAACTGGCTTCATTGTTATGATCCATAACATCAAGCCATCAACAATTTGAATGTCTTTATCTGCAAATTTTGAATATCGTCTCTCCTTTCTGGTACTCGATGGTGGCTACGTGGTAGGATATCAGGAGCACGACGGTTGCAGAAAACCAGAAACTCTAGTTAAAAGTCTCTTTTTGAAATCCACCTTGGATATCCAGAGTTTCCGACAAAGAGATTTGATATCATTCCTTTTATAGTTTATGTTTATAAATGCCAGGCATTTGCTATCACTGTTAGTCGAAAGAACGGACGTGCCCATATCATGGAATGTCGAAGAAGATGGGAAAGATCTGGGTGCCATAACACTTTGCCAAAAGCAATTAACACACCTTTCCAAAAATGGATCCAAAACATAACTATCACTCAAACACAAACAGGAGTAAACTTTAAATTTTTAAACAACATTTAGGCTGTCCTGTTTTGTCCCCAAAACACAATGTGACAAACCTTGAATAAGATTAAAGACTAAAAAAAAACTGTGTTGATCAACAATACAATACAATACAATATTTATCTCGATGATGATTATTTCATTAAACTAATGATAAGAAGCCATGTGCCTTCACCCTCCCACTAGGATAATGTTGGGATGGACACTATTCCATCTCATACCAGCGCATGAAGTCTTATGGCGGGGTTCTTGACATCTTGTCTTAGGGGGAAAAAGAAACCCAAAAAAAAAAAAAAACTACAACTTTTCTTGCATGCTGGATCCACAATCTCTGTTCTATCAAATTTAAAAGGGTAAAAAAGAAACTAAACTTTTCTTTTGTTTGAATTTTCAAATCTATATGCAGATTCTTTTTCTTGCTTCTCTCAAACTTTGATTATTGCCTAGATAAGATTCAACCGTCCCTCCTTCCTGTAGCTTAAACTTCCAACTACTCCACATGCACTTTCACGATGAAAAAAAAAAAAGATTACACCCCAAAAGGTATCATTCTTTTTCTGTTTTTTTTTTTTTTTTGGGGGGGGGGGGGGGGTGGTTATGTGATGAGATGGTTTCTGATTTGTTTTGAGTAAACCTTTTTAAGATGACCTCTGTTCAACCCCGACTGATCAAAGCCTTTGCATTTCTCCCCAGCACGCTGCTGACTACTGAGCTTGTCTAATGGGAAATAATAGCTTCATTTTACAGTCAAGAGAGAGAGAGAGAAACAGGGAGATTGTTCTCGCTTGTGTAAATAATGTCTTGTAGCATGTCCCTACCATTATAATTGTTAATTTTTTGTTTTAATAATAACTGGTTTTCTTCTTTTGGTTACCTTGGGAGGCTACAATTTCTGGCCACTAATAAATTAAATAAATTTCCGGAGCTCTTTTTTATTCTTACAGTTGAAACTTTGATTTGGTCAAATTTCTTGGAGCTGATCCGCAATTGATGTTTTTTGTTTACAAACTAAGCTGCAAGGTAGGGCATTTTCTTCGTGGAACCTAGAAAAGAAAACACTCACGATGCTTTTCTTTTTACAACTTTTTTGACAGAATCCTTTCCTTGTTTTTATATTAGTTCTGCTCTTACTAATTGTTGGCCCTTAGCTCATTGAAAATGAAAGTTGAAGCTCATTGAAAATATTTTAATTACACCTTAAATCTCAAAAATATTCTTTTAATTAGTATGAGAAAACAAATTGTTAGTAATTTATTAATTAAATTCGTTCAAAGTTCAGGCCAAAAACCTTTTTCTGCAATTCATCATGTGGAGCTTGAGGCTTCTCCCTCAACTCCTTGTCTATTTCTGCAAAAATAATAATAATAATAATAAAGGCATGAACAAATTTTGTGATATATGGATGGTAATTTGCTATGTCAATATAATGTAGGATTTCTTGATCCAACTTGCCTATAAACCAAAATCCAAAAGTGCTTTCAGATTTCACTCAAATGGGAGTGGAATTATTGATCCTGAAAACGTTTCTATATTTTAGAGGCTAAAATGATGGGGAGAAACACACCCCAAAACAAAAATCAAATTGCTGCAGCAAAGCTTCCTGCAGGTAGCATTGTGACACATCATGATAACCAAATAGGAAAATACAAAAGAAAACCAAACCGACTTAATTTACTTTTGTGTTTGCAACATGATATGGGCTGTTTGGCATTTCTATGTGAGAAACAAAAATTCAAATATAGAAAAAAAAAAAAAAAGGTAGAATATATAACCCAATTCAGCTTCTCTATCTTCCTTTGCTTGCAATTAAATCAATCACGATTGACAAGAATTGAACCTTGACAAAGGCAGCTGGTAGTGGGTTCCTGAATTAGCTAAACTAGGTACCAGAATACAGAACCCAAACTACTCCATGCATGAATTATAATGTCAATGTTTTTTTTTTTACTCTTTTGAGAAAAGTGGCATGGTAATAGGTTTTATTTTCCTGGAAAACTTGCTTTTTTGAAGAAAAATGAAAATGTGGGACTAACCACTCTAGTCGCATATGCCTTTAGGGTGACTAATCAGCACTTAATTGAAAGCAGCACGTGGAACGTAGTGATTTCTTTTGATTTCAGTGATTCAATGCAAGCAAAGTTGGCAAAAGTTTCAATGAAACTATGGGAAAAAGAAGAAGAAAACAAAAATGGTGTTTTGATCAAGCTAAAACCTAGTATGGAAATCTATGGACTTTTAAGAGTACTCGCTTCATTGAAGTGCTTTTTTCAATATTCTTCGCTAAAGATCAAAGAAAGAGCAAATATAGAGAGTAGAGAAGAAAGCAATTTGTTAGGTTTCAAGCAAATTTCTTAAACAAATATTATTATGCGAGTGGTCTCAAATTTAATTCAATTGATTTATACTGTTATCTTTAAAAAATAACATTTAACAAGTCTAGTTTCAAATCTTAACATATTCAATCTTTTTTCTTGTTTTCAAACATGTTTTGTAAAAAAAAAATTAAGTAAAATACACGTTTTAAACAAATTTCAATCTTAGGTTCAAGCTAGTTATTCATGGTTAAATTACTCCTTAAACAAATTTCAATCTTATGTTCTCATTGTTTAAGGAGTATATTTATTTATTTATTTTTATATAAAAGAGGTCTTAAGAAGTGAAAATATTATCAAATTTCAAATTTCAACCTTGCTTTACATTTAGCCTAGCTTATGGCTAGTTATTCAGCCCTGAATAACTAGCCATTAGGGAGGTTAAGATTTAATTTAATATTGCTGTTCGATTAATGGGGATTAAAAAAATGTCTAAAAAGTTTGATGAGAAGAATGCTATTAAAAATTTTCAGTGTTTTCTATTATTATAAAAAAGTGCTCTAAATAATTATAATGTTTAAAAAAATTCATAAATAATAAAAACATATGAATAATATAATATTTTTATTATAAATGTACTTTTTTTTTAATCACAAAAACACTTTTTGAGTAACATTTTAATTTGGGTTGATAAATAAGGTTTTTAAACTGAAAAGTCATATGTTTTGTTTTTTAACATTAAGGTTAGATCAAAAGTAGATTTTGAATGCCAAAGTTAATTTCAATAGTAATATTAAATTATGGAGAAAATTGGAAATTTAATAATTTTGTGTGTTTTTTTTTTTTAATTATTGATAAAGAAGGATTTGATTTTATCTCTGAGTTTAAATACAAACGAGGACAAACACAATGCTTCTCTTTGAAATTTATATAAATTTAGATGTAATTTTTTTAGTCGAGTAAGATAATTTAAAAAATATTTATTTTGAAATTTATATAATCCAATAAATGAGTAAGACAATTTAAAAAAAAAAAACTATTTTCAAAACCTATTTAATTTAGATGTAATTTTTTTTTTAAATAAGACAATTGAAAAAAATGTCTTTATATATGACTTTACGTTACATGTATTATTTTGAAATGCTTTACCATCATAAAAAATAATTTTAATATCTTAAAAAGTATAAACGAACAAATTATTTTTTTGTCAAGTCACTTTAAAATTTTAAAAATTAAATATATTAACTCATTTCATTTAATGATTAGATTTCTCTCTCCTTTCGCATTTTGTCTTTCTTAACCCATTTCTCATCTCATTCTATAGTACCTAAACTATCCCACAATCTTAAAATTTTCCCAACAACAGTTGTCAACTTATTAAATCATGTATACAATTTTCATTTAATAGTTAGATATATTTATCATTGAATTAAATACAGCATGCATAATTTATTTTAACTCTTATATGATGATCAAACCTCACTCCATGTGAAAAAAAAAAAAATTAAACTACAATCATTCCATATGCTAAAAAATGGAATGAAAAAAAAAAGAAGCTCAAAAAGTATATTGGAAATTACTGCTTGCTTGAGCTAAAGTAGTCAAGGAAAATAGTAAATAGTCTGAATATGACAGCATACAAAGGTAAAATTTACAAAATTCCATAGGCAAATATAGTTGCACTTTATAACTTCGGAACTGTTATCTCTTATGTCCAAATTAAACTTCAAATAAAGAAAAGGAAACTAGAAAACAATAAAACATAATCATCTAAAACAAAAGAAAGCCTAACTCTAATCCATCATATTTCAATGGCTAGTGAACCAATTAAATCCTATATGCAGTACAAAGCACTAGTTAGAGTATTAAACGCTATACTTCGCTTTACATTCTCAAAAGTATTTTCTATTTTTCGATAATATATGTAATAGCATTTGCTTTTGCTTTGAAAGATTTATCTCTGATTTTTTTCCCGAATTAACAACGATTTTTTGGTAATACAATCATAATTTCTTAAATTTTGTCTGGATTTAATTTTTTTCTGAAACAATTTCAAAAGTATATTTTCTTATATCAATACTATGCATTTAATATGTTTTAATTTTCAGAATACTTAAAGAAACGAACTATAGTTAACAAAAAATAAAACTCTTTTTTTTTTTTTTGCACTAAGTTGATCTAATTGAGTGAATTTAGGGTTACTTGA